ACGACCCAATCAAGTGTTTACTCAGACACGCACATTTGCTGCTCTATGTTGGACGATAGCAACTAAACGTCTCAGTCACATAATCACCCCTCTCCACTCATACACGCGTAGTGCACACACCAGGTCTAATTCTCTTCCATGACACACTCTCACTCAATTGAGCCTGTCATCTTCTCTTTGCTCCCTTAATGGCCGTCTACTCCCTGAGTGCTATTAGGGAACAGAACATGATATTGGAAATCAAAGGGGATTTGGTGGCTCGGAGGCGCTGTTCTGTTACGAAGGCGGGTGGAGGTGATCGACAAGCAGAGGTCAACTTGTTAGAAAAACACAGTTGACTTGTTACAAAGGCACACTTGCTCAACCGTGGCTGCTACAATGGATTATTTAAGGACATCACTGCCATGGTTCCGCTGGTATAAGCTGTGGAAGCTAGTTTTAAGTGGGGTAAAGACAGTGCATCGGGGCTGAGCCCAGCCACCATGAATGAAAATCTGCGAGTAATTCTTGCCAGTAGATGCCACAACATCGCAGAAGAGCATTATTTTTGGTCTAGATAGAACTCCTAACTCACTTCAAAATAGTTCCTCGGTATCAAGATGTCAAAAGATGGTGGCAAAGCACTATTTTGTCAAAATGAAGCTCCTCAACTCACTTCAGCATATCATGCTGAAATTCCTTGGAACCAAAAACCGAAACGGTGGCATCAGCAGAGAATACTTTTTTTGTTTTGTCAAGAATGCACAGGCAGTAAATAAATACAGTGAATAGGTGAAAGTCACTGCAAATATGCAGGGGTTCACTGTATTGAAAATCAAGTCGAATTTGATCATTTCCACTTCCTTGCGATCAAAGACAGCAAAGGCCAGATTCTCTGAAGCCTCCAAAAGAAAATTTACAATAAATCAGCTGGCCCGACAATGGTAAATGTTTAGCCTGTTCAATATTTTCAGCTTCAAATCCTTACGAATGTGGCGGATGCCTTGTTGGACTGAACAACGGACTCCCTAATTGTGATGTGAAACGGAACAATAGCCAATTAGCCAACCTTGCTGAAGCCCAAACAAATAGTGTAGCATCTGGGTTTGTCGAGTGTTTATGTAACATCTCTCACTCTCATTCACCACAATACAAACGACAAGGACAGGAATAGCTTCCAAAGAAGCTAACAGCCTAACTCAATTTTCCCACTCACTTGCGTTAAAGGTAATGTGGTCACCAGACCAGTTGCTGAGTGCGCACAAAATAAAATCCGTGTTTTACTTCTTCCTACGCGGAGTGGAACCAATTAGTCAACAAGTCCACGACTCAACTTCACTACTCCTTATCGACGCCTCAAGCTTGAAATCAACAAATCGCTAATCGTGCTTTGGGCATCTTGTTTTTTAAACAATTGAGTGAGGGCTTTTGACTCGCCTAAAAGGACACATTTCCCTGTACAATGACATTTCTTCCTTGCGGCACCCACGAATAGCAAGCAAGACGGTTTTAAGATCATTTCAAAAAGTGGGACAAATCTTGATGTATCTTGGTGTGCACAAGCAACATCTGTTGTGCATTATTTAACAATCAGTGTGTAATTACATATGTGCAAACCGAAGGAAAAAAAAGCAGCTCAGTGAAAAAAAAAAACAGAGGCTGCTTATTAAAGAACTACGTTTTAAGATGAAAGTGCAACGAGTAGGTGATTCCCAATCTGGTGTTTCATTCATCACACTGGTGCGAAAGAAGTCAAGTGTAATCCTTAACTTTTGTCGATAACTGACGCCGTGGTGCTGAGGTTTTAGTCCGCCTCGCTGACGTAACTTGGTGTGTCATATTTTTCCTTTGCTTAACACCCCTTGATGAGGCTCTCCTTCCTTTGGACTGAGTCTTACAGGAAAAAAACTAAATTAAAAAACGTACTAATTTGACTGATGAATAGTGTGTTCTGTCATTGTCATTTTCATCACACATCTGAACAAAATCTGAAGAAGAACATTGGTGATAAGACGTGCAACCGAATGATTTTCGGAGTTTCGGAGTTCTACTCGAAAGGCCATTCTCTCAAATGAAAATGTGTGTGCGTGTGTTGGCGGGGGCAAGGCTGAGCATGAAATGCAGTAAGACAGTAAACAGATGTACATTAAACGCTGTAGCCAACAAAAGCAGGTGGAGTGGAAGCGATCTAAGCTGTGTGTGTAAAAGGGAAGACTGGGGGGAAATCAGAGGCTTCATTAAACTTTCATATAGCTTTTTTCTGTATACTTGCAGTTTCATCTTGCCTTTCTGTTTACTCGGGTCCACAAACCTCCAAAGTTCGACTCACCGCTGGAGCTTGCTCAGTGTTCTTGTCATGTAAAACTCAACAGTGAAATGTTGGAGTACAACAAAAGTAATTACTATATGTTCAGTTTTGATTGACAGCCAGAGAGATAATCATTTAACAATAGGTTTGTTGTGGCGGTATTTTGCAGCATTTTGAAAGGCTCAACATTAATGTACATGTATTAGAATTTTTTTTTTTTATAATTACAAACATTATTTGATTTAAAAAAAAACCCATAAAAAAAAAACATTTTCACTGTTGAATAAAAGGCTGGCATCTCATTTGTATTTTTTTTTTCTTTCACGGGGGACTTACTGAATCGTACCAAAGCAAAAAGTCACTATTTTTGTGATTGCAACAAACACAAGCGCTGCGAGCAGGGTTCGAACCTGCGCGGGAAGATCCCATTGGATTTCGAGTCCAACGCCTTAACCTCTCGGCCATCACAGCTGCTGGCAAAAAACCGAAATGTCTCCCTGGTAGAGTGGCCGTTTTTCCCAACCTGAGCATTTGTCGAGCAAGATACCGAACCCCCAGTTGCTCCTGATGTCATCAGTTGGTTGATGAGGTAACAGTGTGAAGCGCTTTGAGTACCTGAGGTAGAAAAGTGACAGCCCATATCCCATTATCATTTGTTTTTCAGATAAAGAAAAATCTCGAGTGAAAAAAATATTTTTATCCAGAAAGCACACTTTGGTGCCGACAGTAATGTAGTCATAAGTCAAAACACATTAACATGGCCACGCACATTCATTTATCTACCACTCACGGCTTACTCGATCAAATAACGTGGAGCTTTGGGACTATCGCGTCATTTCCTTGAGAATCCACTTTCTCTATGTGTTTGTGTACGGTATATGTCAATCTTCCACAGACAGAATGACAGCGTTTGTTTCCCTTCCGTCACACAGACACACACACTTGTTTGAGATATTCGGGTCGGCCGCGACACTGTGAGTCATCTACCAGGCTAGGACGGCAAATCTAGTCTTCCTGAACACGATCCCCAACACCGAGTCAACAAAGTTGTATGCGTGCATCCCTACTCTTTTGCTCCATCTCCTTCACACACAGTCATCCATTGGCAGTGCCAAGACAAGGCATGCAGATACCTTTGATAAGCGCCCAGCTTTTGAAGGCCTGTTGCTGGCATCGCCTCTCGAAGGGGTCGGTGCTGTCGCGCTGTGTTGCCTCCCGCTGGGCCTTTTGTCGCGAGCGGCATGTTGTCGTTATCGGAACGAGGGCGTCCGCGGTGAGATGAAAGTGAGGGAAAACGGGTGAACACTTCAGAGAGTGCTGAGGAAAATCTCAGCCAAACAGATCGAAAGCAACTTTAGTATGAAAGATGTATTAGAGTAAGCAGCTTAGCCGGGTCACTCACAGTACGCCACGCTCAGGTTTTGCTTGAATTTGAACTTTTTTTGGATGACTTCACTGAACGGCATTACATGCTAATATTGAGCGTTGGTACATCTAGTAGTCTTATTGTTGTTGCAATGTTTTTTTCAAATCCAAATCCCTACGCGTACAAAGCAATGCTTCACGCTTGCGATACATGACCAAGCGTTACAAATGTGCCACAATTGCCAACCAATTAAGAGTCGGACAGGGCAAATTCTGATTCGCTGTCATCATGCCGCGTTGCATCGTAAATACCGAAAGGCCATTTCGTAGTTTACTCGCACGCAATCCTTTCCTGTTGGAGTTGCCGTGTCTGTATCTCTGCTAGCTTTATATTTTGTGTACAATGAACATTTGCCGTGTTACGCGGTGACGCAGTTTTCTTTTTAATTCTTTAATAATATCTTTTGTCCGACATGCTCCTGTCGTTGTTTTTGGTAACTACAATTATGTATCACGGATGTTTTAATTGCTGTGTTGTTTACGCGGCATCTGTTCTGGTGATTGACAGTAACCAGGGGGACTGAATCCACATTTGCGTGTGTAACACGACCCATTCGTGACAATGTTGCCATTTTCAGCATTGCCCAAGATCTCGCCTGCTTAACCTACACATTGTTCCTCTTGAATATGTCAAATTAAGAATGCAATCAGTCCAGTACACGTACAGTCCTTCCCTTGTTACTTTTGCAACGCTCACGTGAATGAGTCAAGAAACCCAACAGCGACAAGGACAAGTCAGCCCATTCCTTTGAGATAGAATGCAGCAAAGTGTGAAAATCAACCGACGTATGTGTTTTCATCATGTGTTTGCCGAACATCTTAGTTCAGTTTGACTGCATTAAATACACATAACTTGCCACGAAGGCGTCCGCATGGAGCGAGAGGAGGGCAAAGGGAAGGGCGGATGCTGATGAGAAGTGAAAGTGACTGTGAATTTTGGAGAAATGGCAGCTTACAGGGTGGAGGGCAACATCCATGCTTTTGACAGCAAGTGAAGTGGCACCCACAATGGGAAGGGAGAAGACACGAGCATTGAGGAAGTGAACATGGACGCAAGGCACATTTACAGATAAGAATCAAATGCATTTGGGGTCATTTGTGTAAATGATCAAGAGTCAACTGTTTGGATATCTTTTTTGAGTGTAATGAACAATTGTTTTTTTTTTTTTTTTCATTTTAGTCTATACAACCATACTTAACAGTTTTTGGTGAATTGAATGAATATAAATTTAATGTATTCTCCCTCGGCAATGAATGGGGCGTTCTTATTTGGTATCATATTTTTCAGATCTGGACACACCAGTGCTGACCGTTCACCAGACGATCAGTGACGTGCGGGGCAGTTACTACCAAGAGAAGACTGTTTTCCTTCGCTGCACCGTCAACTCTAACCCGCCCGCTCGCTTCATCTGGAAGCGCGCAAACATGCTCATCGAACAAAGCAAAGACAACGGCGTGGACATCTACGAGCCACTTTACACTCAGGTACCAGGCGCTCTCAGTATTTGCTGATCGACTATCTCCCAATGCGTCTATCCACCTACCATCTAATCAATTAAAGCAGCTAAACCAATGAATGGATGCACAATCGACCAACCTACTCCCCATTTATTTACCTGCCGGTTGGGTGGAAGCACCTGTGACTATAGCAGACAGTCCACCAGCGCTGACATTTCTGCTGAACAACGTAGTGTTGTTCCAGATATGTTGCTCCTCTGGGTGCAAAAAATAGAAATGGTGATAATGCAAATAGGTGCTGTCCAAATAGCGCACCCGTCAAGCACCGACATTCTCCTTCAAAGAATGTCATTGTCAAAAATGCCCAACTCAACTCAACTGTATTCGTAGAGCACTTTAAAATAACCACCACTGCATACAAAGTGCTGTACAGGGAGCAAAAAGATTTCACACAACAAACAATAAAACAATAAATTAATCACAAAGAAAGTAGAAAGCAAAAAAACAAAACAAAAAAAACTGTAAAACTAAAAATCAAGTCTTGTGCTGAGTCAAAGATGGGCATCGAGGGGACTTGCTGAACATTCAGTGAGAGGTCATTTCAAAGAGAGGGACCAGCAACGGAAAATGCTGAAAACGGCCGAATAATGGGTCTACATGACATGCATGACCAAAAAAAAAAGGTAGAACATACAAATTAAAGTGAAAAATTAGCAGAGGCCTTTTAGGAGAATGCCAACTCAAGAGTGCCATGTTTGGACTCCAACAACGATTGACTGACCATTCAAGCAACATAAGTGGCATCGTTGTTCATTTCCAAATCAAATTTTCTGATCATCTGACCAACCTATGACACTAATCTTCCAAGTCTTCCAACCGCCACCCGACTTACAATTATCAGCGCATACAAAACCAAACCAACGACCATCATATCTCTTCACCAACCAACCGTGCTGGATTTTGTTTCAGAAACAGTAACATACTATACCCTCCGCCATTGGTTCAGGCAAGCCACACTGCCAATTACTGATCAATAGGTTGCAGTAAACAAAACAAGTCTTCAAGCATGACCTCCCAGTCTGAAAGGACAAGCACAACGGAGCCTTTTTACTCCGTTTCACAGAGTATCAGTCGACCACAAAGCAGATTCCCCAGAGTTCAATTGTCCTGGCAGCAGAGTACAGTACGCTTCAAGATTGGCTCAGAATTGATTAGCCCAGCATCTGCAGTCAACGCTTATATGATATCGAACAAACACAGCGGGTAGGGAAACAGTCGGGAACATCGTGGAGAGAACACAGGCCCGCCATCGCAGTGGCAGTCTTATCAGTCTGTGGAAATAATTGGGACATGTGTTTGTGTGTGTCTGTTTATCATAGTACAGCTCATAAAGAATCAGTCAAGAGTTCAAAATGCTTTGGGGAAAAAAATTCAAATGAAGTCTACAGATTTGTTTTTTCCTCAAGTCGTGTTCAGCATCAACAGCAAAAGTGTTTCTTTTAAAAAAAAAAAATGTTCTTTTACACTTTAGGGTGAGACCAAGGTCCTGAAGCTGAAAAACCTGAGAAGAAAGGATTTTGCCGATTATACCTGCCAAGTGTCGGTTCGTAACGTGTGTAACATTGAAGACAAGTCAGTCACCTTCAGGCTGACAAACAGCACGTGTAAGTAAAAACACAAGGTGCAAAAATATGCTTTGTTGCTGTTCACATTCCTCTCTCGATGATCACATCCTTCCACTTTTTATTTTGCAACCTCCAACTCCGTTTAATCCTCCTCTTTCAGTGTTTGTTCCTCTGCCCACTCACTTTCCCCTCAAATTTGCTCCGTGTCTCCTCTCGCCCGCCTACCGCTGGGCCCACTTGTCAACCCGTCTTGTTGAAAAAGCATCACGGGTCCGTCAGTTGCGATTCAGTTGTCACGTTGCCTGTTATCTCCAATTCAGTCCGTATTGCTCGATCTATCTCTACACCACCGCCCAGCAACAACATTGCCATTGACAGCTCTGTCAGCCTCGTTATGGTCAAATTGACACACGACAAAGGGAAAGCCCTGCTTTAGTTTTTCTTTTTTTATTCTTGATTGCCTGTTCATTGATTTTGTGTTCTATTCTCTGCTTTTGATATTACTCTGTATCTTACGCGAACAAGACGAGTTCATCATTTTACACAGTTCAAGAGAATTTTGTTGTTTGCATTGTGTACAGCACAACATCCAAAGCCTATGCGTGATTAGGCAAACAGCAGCTTAATGTAGAGTTCACATGTTAACAAATATGGCTGGCTGGCTAGCTAGCTAGCTAGCTAGATATTAGCATTCTCTCTAATCTGTCACTACAAGGTGACAGTATCACTCCAAAAGCACCTGCAAACACATTGCGTAAGGTGTCTTCGAAGTGTGAGTATTTTTACTTTAAATTTGTTTTATTTGTTCTAAATGGATTTTGGAAGAATGTTTAAAATGTCGCCGTTGTAAGTCGTGAACAGGTAAATTCATATCATATTATTTCCTGTGAGAATATTATTTCGGAATAGGCAACTCAGAAATCAAACATGGAGTAGATTGTGTTCAAAGTTTGAGGTCCCTCCACTCGATTAAAAAAAAATAATTAAAAAATGTCAGTCCTAGTATGAAGAAACGTGACACGTGAAGCTGCAAAATTACCTTGTAAAAAAAGCCTTATGAAGAAACGCGACATGTGAAGCTGCAAAATTACCTTGTAAAAAAAGCCTTAGTATCTTAGTGGGAGCCTGTCCTGGAGGTTTTGCATGAGTCCCCTCAATTGAGTTTTGAAATGAAAGATAATAATTCAAAATGTGGAAGATAAAAGAGATTGGGGTCGCAAAATTAAAAAAGAAAATCACAAACGGAAGGGGAGAAAAATGCCTTAAAAAGCAGATAGACTGACATAATGAATCAGAATCAGGTTAATATACGGTCGCTGGATGACCTGACATAAATTCTGATTCTTCAATAGGTCTTTCTCTCATTGAGAGAAGCCAGAGATGATCAGACATGTATTTGTAGAAGTTTTATTAACTAACACAGGTTACATCTCATTCTCTCTCTCTCTCTCTCTCTCTCTCGCTCCCCCCCCTCTCTCTCACACACACACACACACACACACACACACACACACACACACACACACACACACACACACACACACACACACACATTCACTTCACTGGCATGAAAGCTCCCTGAGAAGTTCGCCAAAATAACCAATCTGTCTGAATTTCCCAGCTTTATTGTGAGAGGAAACACTGCTTTGTGTGCCAGTGTGTGCGTGCATTTGTGAATGTTATCAAAACTGTATGCCTGATATAAATTTTCATTTTCTGTTAAATGAAGAGAACTAATTTAGTTTTTACACCAACCTGAAATTGTGCTTAAGTGTACAGCCTGTAAAATTGTCCTAGTTTTAAATTTTTGGTGACTATATTGTATTTTTATCCCTCAAGACTTATAGCAGTCCCTTATCAGGTTGGTGTGAAGTGGCATATTAAAGACCCATCCTCCAAAAAAAAAAAAAAAAAAAGAAAAAAGAAAAGGAGACAACATGAGAAAGTAACAAAAATAAACAGCAGGCTACGGTAATGAGTTACATTAATAAAGGGAGAAATGGAGATCCGCTAAGATGTTGTTTTCATTCTAATATTTCGTTTTTATTATTGCCCGCTGAGCTTCCGTGCGTGCTTGGATTGGATTGCCCCAACTGGGTCACGCCATCACTGCTGCTTCACTGCGGAGGGACAAGGGGGTTGATTGATTTTTGGGAATCATAATCCTAGTCCTACCACTTACTGAGGGCAGCTGCCACATCCTCTGCCTCCCTCATGGGAACACAGTGAGAGCGATGGTGGGAGCAGTGGGGGGGGGGGGGGGGGGCATGTTGTGTTTGGCTAATAGAAAAGCGCTAATAGAAGTTCTGAGAACAAAATTGGAACGGGGTTGAGTGATACAACAAAATATTAGCTTGGCACCAACGTCAATGACATTTCAACTGGAAATGGCAGATGAGCACTTTCTGCTCTTCTTCACCTTATGGAGCGCCCGTTTAAATACTTGGATGACACTAATTTTAAGCAAGGTCCACACATCCTGAATTGTACCATCTGAAAATACTCTGTCAAAAAAAATTTGGACATTTCTTTCGAAATACAATATACACCTTTGAAGATAATTACTGAAAACATGTCAAAAGAAAGTAATATGCTAGTTGTGCAGATGAAACTGTTTTTCACCATTTTGGTTTTCCTGATTTTATTATGGGTGTGGCTAAAATGGGCACTGAAGTCACTGTCTCCATACAATTTAAGATGACCTTTAATACTGCTTAGGGAACTCAAAATTCACCTGGAGACTGTACGCGTGCTTCAGTAGGTGCTACTGTTTTGGTTAGCCACACAGTTCCAGTGGGTTTAACAATGACCTTTTTAAAGACTGTGTGAGTTTGGCTAATAGAAAAGCGCTAATAGAAGTTCTGAGAACAAAATTGGAACGGGGTTGAGTGATACAACAAAATATTAGCTTGGCACCAACGTCAATGACATTTCAACTGGAAATGGCAGATGAGCACTTTCTGCTCTTCTTCACCTTATGGAGCGCCCGTTTAAATACTTGGATGACACTAATTTTAAGCAAGGTCCACACATACTGAATTGTACCATCTGAAAATACTCTGTCAAAAAAAATTTGGACATTTCTTTCGAAATACAATATACACCTTTGAAGATAATTACTGAAAACATGTCAAAAGAAAGTAATATGCTAGTTGTGCAGATGAAACTGTTTTTCACCATTTTGGTTTTCCTGATTTTATTATGGGTGTGGCTAAAATGGGCACTGAAGTCACTGTCTCCATACAATTTAAGATGACCTTTAATACTGCTTAGGGAACTCAAAATTCACCTGGAGACTGTACGCGTGCTTCAGTAGGTGCTACTGTTTTGGTTAGCCACACAGTTCCAGTGGGTTTAACAATGACCTTTTTAAAGACTGTGTGAATATTTTGTTCCTCTGGGTGAAAAAAAGAAGTCTCGATCTGATATAGGCATTTATTTATTGCTTCAATAATGACAAAGAGTTGGGTTAGGAAATTAAAAAATCGATTGATTTTTTTTCCTTCTTAATCATTCACAGTCAAACTGGCTTCTAAAAACATGATTGATTTTTCTCAAGCTGTTGCAACTTTGTGTGTATGAATTGGTCCATTGCATGGTTTAATGCAACTTTAGATAGCATTGCATTAAACCAACGGACCAATTCTCTCTCACACACACACACACACACACACACACGCACGCAAGGGAGAGAAAGGTATTGCACCCTTGAGGCGTGAGGGTTCAGTGCCTTGCCTAAAGTTACTTAAACAGAGCTGAAGAAGCTGACAAGAATCTTTCCAGTCCCAATTTTCCATTACAAAAAAAAAAAAAAAACCCTCTCAGTGGAATTTGGATCTTCAGCCCTGCTGCCACAAACCAAGTCCTTGTGGACCGAGCTACCGGTACCCCCATAAATGTTTCATGATTATCATTGCATGTGTGTCCTGATTGGCTGGGAGACATCATGTGATTTCACAGCGACGATTTGAAGTCCAGTTTGAATACTAATCGAAGTTGCTGAACGTGGTTCCCTGCATGAAAGATTGAGACACTATTTAAAAATGGAACAGGGGTGCAGTGGAAGTGCAGAAAAGCCACTGATGCACTTCAATATGACCTAGTGTGTATTTAAAATAGTCCTGCTAATTCCGATTAGGTAGACTGTCATTTGCGGAGTATCATCTTTTTTAATTTCCATCAACAAAGCTGGTGTCAAAAGTAAACGGTATTCACACAGCGGTTGTAGTAGTCTCTTTAAAATCAAGCTACGTTGTTTTAGTGTCAACATTATGAGCAATTCACTTTTCTTTTACGGCTATGGTAAGTGCTTTATCTGGCCTGTTAAATGGATATCACTCTGATAGTATCAATAAACACTGAGCGTGGTTATTTCTTTAAAGCGCAGGCTTGTTTTATGTCGCTCCGGTGTCGGAGGTGATCGAAACGTGCAGGTGTACCTAATTTTGTGGCTAGCGTGTGTGTGCAAGAATATGAGGCTGGAGAGCCTGTGGTGCAGAGAACAACTATGTAAAGTGTTGACAATGTGACGGGGGGGAAAATGGAGAGCCGAGTAAAAGGGAACGTGTGTTGAGGATGGAGACATTTGTTACCCGCTTGTAAAGTGCGCTGCTGCACACAAATCCCATTAGTTTGGAGACGAGCGGCGGCTGATCCCGCTGTCGCCATCACCCACACATCCCTAGGAAATTGAAGCTATAATTCTCAAATCCTCACTTCCCCCTCCTTGATTCACTTATCTCTTCACTCACATATTTGTGTTTTTTTTTCCCCTCCCACGTAACGCGGCTTATTTTTTTTATCTTTTGTATTTTGAAATGACTCTGTTAGGTTTGGCCAATGAGCACGAGGTGACCATTTATGTGATGGAGTGTTTATTGGCAAGCAAACTGCTGATGTAATCAGGGCGTATGGTCCACAAGCTGACATTGAAAGTCAATTTCAAGAAACCCACAAGCGTTCTTTATACAGTCTGCAATGGGGTCTCTGATTGTTTTCGGACACATGCTCAGCGGCAATATCTTGTTCCATCACCAGTGGAATCGGACATTGTTGATCTCATTTTCATATATTGTTCTCGATCGGATGAAATACTGGTGGATATTTGCGGGGGCTTTTCTACCTCCTTAAATTTGCATGGATCCATCTGAAAATAGGGAGACTGTTTCCTGTAGCATTCTCTTAAGTTAAAGTTCAAACTTCAGGCTTTTAGGAATGCTAAAATTCGTGTTTTGTTTTTTTTTCCCGTTTGCAACAAATGCCCGTTTGGCTCCATTTTTTCTGTGCTTTGATTGCTTAGCACTTGCTAGTCTACTATCAACTGATCCAGATCAAATGAAGTGAACTACAGGTGTGAAAGCACCCTAATACAGGTACTACAGGTATAAGAATAGGTGTGGAAAGATTTACCTAATACTTTATCATAATCTTAGATTCTGTTAGCGCTGGCACATCCTTCAGGTAAAACTGCAGAACCTTTACAATGACTCCTTCCAGTCTCTTAATGGACAGAATTGCATTCCAAGATTTGTTCCACTGCTTAGCGATTACTTTACTTAATGACACGAACATGTTGTTTTTCAGTGCTCTTGAATTACTATAGATTGTCCATCGGTGTTTAATTCAACAGTACACACACAATAGGATTTACCAGCCATTGACCGAACCATATTTATTGCACACTTGTCGAAACAACACATTACCGGGAAGGTATGGTGGAGAAGGAGTTGAGCTAATCGATGCGGGGATGAATAAACTCTTCAGATTTACTGGTGAGCCATGTCTGCTCAAATTTGGTCAAACGCTCTAAAATCCTGTGTGCTCTGCTGTATGTGTGTCTGTGTGTGTGTGTGTGTGTGTGTGTGTGTGTGTGTGTGTGTGTGTGTGTGTGTGTGTGTGTGTGTGAGAGAGAGAGTGTGTGTGTGTCCCCCTTTAGGAGGAATAATTACAATACTGTGTAAATTTAAATGTTTAAAAAACAATGTCCCAAGTATCAGGCATCCTGGGGTGGTAGTGGACATGCGCAGTTCCAGAAAACGCATTTTTGACTTCAGACAAGAGGGAATGCAATGTAATCTGTTCATATTGGAACAGATATTTGGACTCAAGCCTCTCTGCTTTGGTTGGAAATGAGTGTATATACGGACAGAAGTGGGCACGTCATTCTTCCGTCATAAATTCAAGCTTGGAGAGCCCGTCTGTTGTCCTCAGCAACAGACGCTGTCGAGAACGTACTTACTACGTCATATGCAGGGGCAGTACAAGCAGACTCCAGACTCAATATATCTATCTATCTATCTCGATAGGTAGATCTATATAGGTATATCTCTCTGTAGCTATCTATCTATATCTATCTCTCTCTCTCTCTCTCTCTCTCTCTCTCTCTCTCTCAGAGAGAGAGAGAGAGAGAGAGAGAGAGAGAGAGAGAGAGAGAGAGATTGAAAGATATATACTTGTAGAGCGAGAGAGAGAGATAAATAGATGAGTAATTCAGTAAAAATCGTTTTCTGCCAAATAGATTTTGTTTGTTGTGCGGACTGCTCCTGAAAGTCAAATTATCAATTCACAAACAAATTAAATCGTACCTTATCGTGGGCCGTCAGCCATCTTTTTTTGTTTACTTTTGACTGGGACATTTTAAGGTCGTCACTTGAAAGCTGCCAATGAGTAAATGTTTTCCTCTGTCGTCTTGAATGTGACATAAGCAGGGAAGGCTTGTCATTCCGAGGGTGAAACTACTTTGGGTGCTGGTTCAAAAAAATGATAATGTCTTAACCTTTGTTCCTAAAACGCGTCATTATAGATGACCACAATTTTTTATTGTCCTTTATGTGCCATAAATGTTGTTCAACAATGATACAGTAAGTCTTTTAAACTGTAATTAATTAAAAAATATGTATTTTTCAAGAAAACTGTGAGAAAGACATCTTAGCCGGAGTAGAAGTACTGTCTACACAAAAACAAAATGAATTAAATCTTGTCCACATTAAACTAAAACTAAATCATTTTCTGTAAATACAATAAACATGAATAAGCAACATACAAAACTATTGTATTACTCATATCAAAACCAAACATGAGGCATCGACTGGGAGGCAAAAAGACTTTCTGGGACCGCAAGCATTTGTGGGACGGGGCGCTCAGGAGTCATTAAGGAGCCCCCGATTTGGGCTGAAGTCTCTTTTCGAACCCACAGACAGAGCTACGTAGCTGAAGCTACACCAGTGAAGTTGTCATCAGTTCACCCCTCCCTCCCCCCTCCAAAAAAAACCTCCAAAAGAACGCCATTAGTGTATGTTCACTCGCACACTTGTCATTCATGTAAGAGCTTGTGTGCGTGTGGCATGCGTTTTTGCTTTTAGTGGAGATGTGCAGCTTTTGTAAGCTTTTTGTGTGATGTGCACCTGTTTAATTTAGCCGATTGCTGAAAATGATTGGTTGAGTGGATCTATTAAAAGAAAAAAAAACTATTACAGGAATGGGGCTTCAGTGAGGAGGATTACATTTCTCTCAGTTTGCTAAAAACCTGCTTTAAATCCATGCGAGATTCTCCTTCCGTCAGCTCAAATATTACTTTGTAAGCATATTGTAGCCCCTCCTCAAGTATAAAGTCAAACTGTGTGATACACACAAATGGATTATTGCGCCAAATTGTACTACTTTATTCATCAATTTTCGATCAAAATCAGCAAAGGCCATATTGTCACATGTCTCTGGCCGATTATCCTGTGGTGTATCGTGAGTTGGGACTGTTTTTTTTCCCCCACAATCTCCTCCAAACTCTGCGGAGGTCGACAACAGTGTTAAACCTGAGCTCGACTGGTGTTGCGCAATATGCGTAAGGGCAGAAATTTCACCTAAAATTGATGAGATGAATCAATTGTAATGCTGCAACCATTATGCAATCTCAGTGAGAAATACCTTTCCCATATTGAAGTGTTGAAGGTAACCTCATTAGCATTTTAATTTCTTCAGATTTCATCATCAAATCATTCATTATATATGAAGTGTAAATCCAAACTAACAGTTCAATCAATGATTGCGGCACTTCCCAGCTCCGCCCATGGTCCGGCTGTCCGTCAACGACACGGTGGTGGCGGATCCCGGGCAGGATTTGGTCATCACATGCGAAGTGACTGCAGGTTTCCCGCCGCCGACCGTGATTTGGTCACGTTATCCGGGACCCCTTCCCCTCAACGCCAAGGTTCGCGGTGCCCAGCTGATTCTGAGGGCCGTCACACCGACCGACGCGGGCTTCTACAACTGTACCGCTGTCAACAATGTGGGCAACCCCGCCCGTAAGAACATCAACGTCGTCGTGAGGAGTGAGTATAATTCATGATATTATTGACATCCGAATTTATTTTATGGTCTTCCAAATTCCCATAGATGGTGAACTAGACTTGCCCCGGCACAAAAATGAAGATGAAGAAGCGCTCGTTTTTATGCTGAGCGCTTGTACGCCTGCGAAAATTAAAATTACAACCCTCTCTTAAGAAGGACTGCCCACAACAGTGACGTTAGCACTGACGTCATGTTATACGTAAATGGGGGTCCACTGACTTTATCCATCCATGCATCCAACCATTCCATTTACGGTCCGATCCGCTTTATCCTCACAAGGGTCGCGGGTCCGCAGTTGAATGTTGGTTGAACCGTACTGTATTTTTGTTCCTGTTTAAGGGAATGTCAATTAAGTTTTTTTTTTTTTCAATAGTACCGTATTTTCCGCACTAAAAGGCGCACCTAAAAGCCTCCCAATTTCTCACAGCCAAGCTCACAGCGCGCCTTAAAATCCGATGCGCCTTGTGTATGGTCATTACGGTAATATTTCAACCCCAAAATGGCTGCTTGCTCGAGACATGCTGACAACGCAGAGTTCAAACTTAAGGCGATCGGGTTACACAGTTGAACACGGAAATAGAGCAGAGGCAAGAGAGTTCAACGTTAACGAGTCAATGTTTTATAACTTGCTGTTGGTGAAGTGAACTGTGTCGCTGCGTTATTCAATACGTTTTACTGTCATCTGATCGTTCTGTTGGCGTTTCCTTGAGTGTTTCTCCATCTAGTGGATGCATTGTAGATTGCGTCTTATAATGCGATGCGCCCAAATTATGAAAAAAATTACAAAATAGGCCATTCGTTGAAGGTGCGCCTCATAATCCAGTGCGCCTTTTAGTGCGGAAAATACGGTATACACTAGATTATTCATTCATTCATCTTCCGAACCGCTTGATCCTCACTAGGGTCGCGCTGGAGCCTATCCCAGCTGTCTTCGGGCAGTAGGCGGGGGACACCCTGAACCAGTTGCCAGCCAAACGCAGGGCACACAGAAACGAACAACTATCCACGCTCACACTAACACCTAGGGACAACTTAGAGTGTTCAATCAGCCTACCATGCACGTTTTTGGAATGTGGGAGGAAACCGGAGTACCCGGAGAAAACCCACGCAGGCCCAGGGAGAACATGCAAACTCCACACAGGGAGGCCGGAGCTGGAATTGAACCTGGTACCTCTGCACTGTGAAGTCGACGTGCTAACCACTGGACTACCGGGCCACCCTACACTAGATTATATATATATAAAAAAAAAAGAGGCCTCCCTTATTGAATCGCTGTCGAACAGTGCAACACCCATATACATTTGAATGTGTATTGCTAATGTCAGCAGTTGATCCCTCATTATGGAAAAGTGGTGAGAATCATGTCAGAATGAGCGGGTCAAGTATTCCTCTTTTGTTCAACC